TAAGAGCAATAGAAACTCAAGGTGGCCAGAAGTAATAGACACAGGTTAGACAAGGCTGTTTGAAGTAGGTAAGCACCTGATCATACAGGTTTTATTTATACCATTCTTCTTTAATAAGCCAATGTCTTTCTGTGATACCTGCCAACTTGTGCTCCAGGACCTAAACTTTCATTTAAAATGTTGCCAGTGTTGCAATTGCAAAGATAACCTTTAAAATGTGAACTCAGTGTAAAATAATGTAGTGATTTCAGTATGAGTCTGCAGACAGAATGAAACAATAGCTTTGAGAGCACTATGAACTGAGAGCACTTAGACCTGTTTATCTTAAGATGTTAACACTGAAACCTAATTGTGACAATTTAAACATCAGCTTTGTTAATTTTTTTCGCTGCTGATCACAGCATGAAAGGAAAAATGGGGGTGATAATAAATAGCATCATATTTTGACATCATAAGTGGGTGGGTTCTTAGGTTGTAGACAGAACTTGTGAGACTACGCTCACTTTTTTCCCTATCAGACCTGGTAGTAGATTTCAGTAGTAATACCTCTAGCAAAAACAATGAAGTTTAAAAAAAATTGTTTGCCCCATACAGATTTCCATGAGGCTTTGGCCACTGTCGGTAAACAGGATTCTGGGCTGGATGGACCTTTGGTCTGACCCAGTATGGCCATTCTTATGTTCTTAATGGTCCTTGATTATCAGAGGGTGGTCCTTAATTCATACCTGAAAAATTTCAGATATTATGAAAGAAGAATGGTATAAATAAAACCTACATGACTAGGTGCTTACCTGCAACTAAGGTTAGACCAAACTTTAAATAAGTAAAAGAAGAGGTTAAGCACTTTGTTGCCAAATAATAACACACTAAACCCTAGCTAAGTAATCTTTGCAATGCCAGTTTTAAACCATATTTTCTGATTTACAACCTCTGATAGCAAAGTGTAAGATAAACAAGTAGAAAAATGTGAAAGCAGAACATTTTTGAAGCACCAAGAAAACAAGTATTGGAGATTACAGGAATGAGAGAGTAGAAAGAGGAATGAATGTAATTTAAAAGTACTTGGGTCAATGGTATATATTGTGTAAATAATATTATTAAGAGACATGTAAATCAGTTATTATTGCTTGTAAATTAAATGTTATCAGAGTCTTAAATATTGGAAACACCATCTGAGTGAAACGTGAAAAAAACAGTTTTATCTTTCCCTAATTTTGAAGGCTTTGTTTCCTCCATTGGACAATACAGAGCTTCAGCCTGCATTGCATTGGGCCTGCATCAGCTTCTGTGTACAATACAGACGCTATTATAGGCAATATTTGCCACTGGAGAAATTTATAAACAAAAATAGAAAGTTACTTAGGATTGTTAGGGTTAAATGCCAGTTCCAGTGAAGTCAATGGCAAATCTCCAATTGACTTCAATGGGCATGTCTGCCTGCTGCCTGTGATGGAGAGTCTCAGAGCCCTGGCTGACTTGGGCTCACAGATTTTGAGCTATGGTGCTAAAAATAGCTAAGTAGACGTTCAGGCTTTGGCTGGAGTTCAGGCTCTGAAGCCCACCCCCCTCCACTGTCAACCTAGGCTCTAAGACTCACTGGTGCGGGCTGCCGCTCACTGTGTAGATACGCCCTACAAGGCCAGGATTTCACTCTTAATTGACTGGTGGATGAGGGATGTGTGCTGTGTTAATTTTGTGTGTGTCATCTAGGTAAATTATTGCTTATTGGAGAATAAATATTAAATATGTGCTTTGCACATTGTTTAATTCGGCAAAGAAAGGGTTCATTTTCTTGGACCGTCTGCACAAGGACTAAGCTGGAGTCCATGTGAGCTGTTGCATTCCTGTTGACCAGAATCACTAGGGAACAGTAAAAGGTGATACATTGTTGCACATTGTGCTGGACTCCAGCTGTGTCCATTTAATTAAGTTGAGTCTGGTTTTGGATGCAGGGCTGCTTTGGAAGATGATGACACTGGCTGTTTTAATCCATAAATTCCTGGGAATCTTTTTTTTTTTTAATACTAAAAGTGAAGCACTTTTAGTAGGCAGTTGAAGCAGTTTCTTTTTGATTCTTCGATACATAACAGAAACTAATTCCTAAAAGGTAACTCTGCCCCTCACAGATCCCTGACTCCATCCAATAGCCACTAAAAAGAACTCAAACCACACTAATCCTGTCCATCAGACCATCTGCACAGTCCACACATTACTGAGTACGGTATTTAACCTCTTTCACCAACTTTTAAAAAGAAAAACCAAATTCATAATAATGGGCAATGTGTGATTATAAGAATTTTCGGTCTGCGGGGATGAGCTTATTTTACCACCTGGCTGTAGTTTTATGAGTTATGACTGATCATGCATACCTCATGAAAATGTTACATGTATCACACATTGCCCAATGGCATATATTACTTCTATATATACTACATATGTGAGGGTATATCAGTGTGGCAACTTTGAATAAATTGCATTTATCAAACACCTATCACTGTTTCACTTGCACTCTGCCCTCCAATCCATTTCTCCCTTCTAACATCCTCTATATTTTAAAAAGAAAATAAAAGACAGCAACAGCCAGATAATTTTTTTCTTTTCCCCACAAATATGGATTTTCCCATCAAAATTACACTATTCAGGCCACAACTGTTTTAAGGTCGGCTATATCGCAATCTATTGGAGCTAAAAATAGCTTCTAAATACCTACTTTCCAATGGGTTACAGTACATGATTCTTGGGAGATCCCAGTATTTAGGATCGTAAAGCATTATAGATGGGAAAGCTATTTTAGGTATTTTGTAGAGGTTTCTGAAATTCTGTTAGTTACAGTTTTCCTTTATCTCCAAGGCCAGTACTTTTGGATTTATGGAATTAAGACACCTGATTTTACAGGCCAAGGGATATTTAAATAGTACCCATAAAAATAAAACTAACTAAAATATTGCTAAAATGGGGGTCAGGGAGTTGGTAAAATATATGGCATATGCAGAATATGTGATGGTGTAGTGTGATATAAAGGTTTTATTGGTACTGGTGGAAAGACCTGCATAATTTATTAATGGGTTCACCATTTATAAGTAATCTGGCTATCCAATCAGATGGTAATTAAATCTTTATACCACATTATTATGTATTCAATGTGTATCATCTTGTATATATTAATGTGGTGACTCTTTTTCCTTTAAAGTTCACATCACAAGGGTTGAACACATTTGGAGGGGAAAAAAGACCTATCCAGTTGTTGAAAGTTTGATACAATAGAGAAAATATATGGAATACCAACAATGTGTTTTCAGTACAGAAAAACCTTTCATCCCTGTGAACTGTTACTGCCTTCTTAATTTGAAACTGTTTTTAGACCTGAGATTAGCTGTATATATAATTGTCTATTTTTTCATTAGTAAAGGCCCACACATCACAAGAGAAGAATAAATCCTATAGTAGCTGGATCTTCTAGAACTGTATGTCAGATCATCCTTTATTTCATTGCCTTGCAATATCCAAATACAATATGATCATTGTTAAGAAAGAGAGAATTTAAATTTGCTTCCTTTAGTGGAGTAATCGATCAGCCGCTTGTCATTAATGTAACTTTTTCCTGTTGCTTTTCATCACAGAACCATAGAATTTAGAGATAGAAATAACCTACTAGATCAACTAATGAACTTTCCTGTCAATGCAGAATTGGTCTCTATTTGTACATATTTGTCCAGTCAATATTTAATATTGTTTATTTAGTCGCTCCAGTTTTAAAAGTCCAAAAGGAAAAGGCCCCCATCGTTTCCCTTGGGAGACTGTTCTACAGTTTAATAGATCATACTGTCAGAAAGTTTTTCCTGTATTTTTTTTTTTTTTTACATTTCCTCTTTCTTTATTTCCTTCCATTACCTCCCAGATTATACTTCCAAATAATTCATCATCATCATCTGTGTTTACATCCTGCACATATTTGTAGTTGTCATGACAACCAATAATTATTGCCTAGCTAAGCTAATCATATTTACCTCTTTTAACCTTTCCTTGTAAATCAGTCCATTCAGATCCTTTAATAACCTATGTTTCTCTGATTTGTCAATATCTTTGATAATAAATTGCCCAGAAATGTAGGCATTATATGTGTTATGTACTTTAAGAGCCCTTTAAAATTCACATTAAAAATCAACAGTTTCAGGCTAAATGTTACCAGCTGATGTTTTTGGTTTATTATTTACTAGAACAGTTTTCTGGTCATTTAGAGTATTTAGGGCCAAATTTTGCTCTTGGATAAATGAGCACATCGCTCAAAGAATGTTGCCAAAGTTGGGTAGATGTGTATGCTGAAGGTAGAATTTGACCCCGATTGTGTCATAGGTCTAAATTCAGACTAGCTCTTGTACATCCTGTACATCAATCCATGAAAAGTGTTGATTTGGCTCATTATACTCCTAAAATGTACAGAATTCACACTTTTCAATCCTATGTGAAAGGGACACATTCTGATGGGCCTGGGGCCAAATGGCAGCGTCTACACATTTTAGTGCCTCCTTCTCTGTCCCCTTATGCAGCCTTCCCTGCTTTTATTAGTCAGACTTCAGGCATGTGCGGAAAGCAAACAGCTGGGTGCTTGTTCTGCATACATTCCCAAGCAAGGCAGAATACTGGCCCATGCTAAGGCAGCTTTTGCAGTGTTGTTATGTATTTTCGTTATACGCTTTAGGCTCTATGCTTAATCCTACTATGTGAGCAGCACTATTATTATAAAATACTTTGATGAAAATCATACCAAGAACAAAATAAAACTGATCAGAAGGTTACTGTGAATCAAATGTATGGAGCCTATTTGTGTTGTCTGCTAAATATACTATATATAGATATATTAGTTTATAACAATTACATAACCCAGCACATAGATAACTGTGGTGATGGGCATTCTACAAAACCCTACAAGACATTGGTAGGTTTGTTTTTAAACACAATGTATATATTTCACAAGGCATTGTTTTGGTTTTGTTTTGTAGCCTAACAGCAGTGGTCAAGTAGTAGGGAAAGTGCCTGGCCATTTTACTCCAGTTTTGGCACCCTCTCCCCATCACAGTGCGGTGAGACCTGTGACTCTGACCATGACAGATACTAAACCCATCACTACATCCACTGAAGGTGAGGCATCTTCACCTACAGCAACCAGTAAGTATTTCTCTAGGAAACAAAAAAATGTCCATCGGAGGTTCAATATGATTTTAAATTAAGGCCAAAAAAGGTGCCTTTTCCTACTATTTGACCAGGTGGATGCTCATAATTTATTCTGAGAGCAAACGTGATCTGACCACAAAGCTTTTCCTCCTCAAAGTTTAGTCATAGCATCATGTTACATGAACTGATGTTTGTGACATGACAATCAAAATCTAAAGGGAAAAGCATATTTATTTGAGCACCACCCATCGAGAAAGAGTGAAACACGATTGTTCATCTAAGGTGGACATTGTAATGACATTGAGAAGCACACTCAGACTGCAAGATTTCAAATCACCCACACTTGGATTTCAAAAAGAGATTAGATAATTGCTCCTCAATGAGCTTTCCTACAGAAATCAATCTTTGTTACAAAACATACTGAATCAGAGCTATGATAATTGCATGTTTATATAGGTTGTATTGTTAGCAAAAATAAAATGATGTGGCATACAGCAAAGGAAATTTTAATTCACTGCCCTTGATTCTACAAGGGTTGGCTTAATAGCATTTGCTTTTTAAACGCCTCGAAAGTTTTGAGTACCTTTGTACAATATGCTCAGCACCATGTTATTTATCCTGTTATCTTCAATGGAATTGCAACCAGGGAAGTATGTGCAACGTACATGCTAATGTCATTTGATCATTTCTATGATATCCAAAGGGTTACTTTTTTTATCTAGCTTCTACACTTTTGTTAACAAAGCTGGGTAAATATTGTTCCTGACCTTTTAGGTCTTTAGCGGGCCAACATTACTTGATACTGATTACTGGCAACATTTTTAGAAAATAGTCCTGATCAGACTATTTAGAAGAAGAGCTCTGAGCTGAAATTTCTGTCTTCCGAAGGACAGTTAGAGCCTAAACTATGTTTAAGCCAAACCAAACAAACAAAAATACTTAAAATGCATAAAAGAATATGGATTTCTGTAGGGTCAGTTACACTAAAATGGATCATTTAGCCACATTAGGCATCAAAATTGTGCCTGTGGTCTCTAGACATTGGATTATAATTAATCAAGCCTGTAAATCAAGCCTATATTTTTAGGTATTTGTTATTTTAAGATCTTATTTTGTAAACCGAAATAGAGATCAAATGAGTTAGAGCAAGCAACACATAAGGAGGAAACTGCATAAATATCTATTACAAAGAGAAATAAGTGACTCCTTAAAATAATCTGGGTAAACACCATTATTTAATTATAAACTGATTAATAATTATATTGATAGGATTATGGAAATATTTTTGCTATTCTTTTGGGATAGCAAAAGAGGCTTCTAGGTGGACTAAAAATTGGAGTGGATTAACACTCTCTGCTGGTTTACAGTGCAAATTTTGCTCCTTTGAGGTGCTGCTATTTCTGGTATGTTCAGCAGCAAACAAGAAGTTAATGCTCTAGCGTTTCACCTCAGAGGAACCTTGGTTCAAATTTGGCTTGGATTATTGGTAGTTTCATCCTCGTTCCTGTTTGTCAAGATCACACAATGTGGCACAATTGTCTGTCTGTGCTCAAGAGAGACCATGGCCTGGAATAGCAGGAGAAGGGAGATCAAGTATGATATCAGAACTGCGGGAAGAAGCTTGCACTCTACCTGCACACATTATGGTCTAGTTCAAGGAGTCTTTTTAGAAGGAAACTGACCTTATTTGTGTATGAATAATTATACAGGTATTTAAGGGTGAAGCCTGGGAATTTCAAAAGAGCCTAAAGGAATTAGACACTCAGTTTTACTGAATTTCAGTGGAACTTGAGCACCTACCTCTCTTATGGTCCTTTGATATGAGGCCTCTTTCTGCATGCAGAACATCTCTATCACTAATGCATGTACATGAAAAGTGTTTATGGTCAAATTCAATATGAGTGTGCAAATTGTATGCACAAGTGTAGCACACAAACATGACATGCACGAATGAAAATTTGCCAGTAACTAGATAACGAAACAAACAAAAACTGAAGGAAGGTATCCTGCTGCTGGAAATACATAAAGCCGTCACTGACCTTAATATTCATGCTCTCATGCCAAAGGGCTTCAAACATGCATTTGGCCCTAATAATTTTTTAAAACATTGCAAAAATATTTTTAATAAACAATTAATTGCAAAAGACTAAATGTTTTGTTTGGCCAATAAGTTCCTGCAGATATTGCTTAAACATAATATAAATGCTGTCATTGTTTCTGTTTAGTCAGTTTCAACCTATTCAGCATATAAAATCAAATGATTAACACTGACTTCATTCTGAAATACAACAAATGAATTGTTCAGAACTAGACAGAACAATAGACTTTGATAACATTTCTGTCAAGGAACTCTGAAGTCATGATTTATTTTTAATATCTGATACATTTTTATGGCAATCTCTCAGTGAAAACTGTTTACTATAAAAAAGCCATATTAAAAAATCCTCAGAAATTCAGAAAGTTTTATATAATTGCTGTATAATTTTAACCTCAAACAGCCAATTAGCGAAAAACTCTATCCACCTTCCTCACTCTGTTCTCAGTCTTCATATCCATTCCATTTTGGCAGGTCTGCTTTGACCACCAGCAAAGGTGCCAGTTGTGATGATGATTGTTGCAATGTGGTCATCTACACACTATGAAGTGGAGTGAGATCACATAGGGCACTAAGAGCTATGAGAGGGTAATGACTTTCAGTCGCTACTGATCTCAGCCAGATTTGAACGGTGACCTACAGGTGAAAGGTTCTGTATCCCTTTACCAATCTCTTGAGCCACCCAGTCTCCCCCCAGATTTTTCTAAGCTTCTGCAACACAGAAGGCTAAAAGAGGTTTTACTGAATTAGCCCTAAGTGAATGCTATTTTCTGGTGTGTAAAATTATGCTGCACAGCAAAAGTTAACTCCCTTCTCTGTTTAGTGCTGATCACATTGTATCCTTCTTCCAAAGGACTGTAAAGATTAATTTCATGCCACATGAGCAAATCAAGCTTTAGGTCTCAGTTTTAAATAATTAACCACTTTCCCCAGATAAATTTGTGACAGGCATTCACAAATAGAAGAATTAGTGTAAATTAGTAGGTTGTTGTTCTCTCACTCATACCAGCGTAACTCCATTGACTTCATTTATTGGACATTTATATTAGTTTCAGAGTGGTAGCCGTGTTAGTCTGTATCAGCAAAAAGAACGAGGAGTACTTGTGGCACCTTAGAGACTAACAAATTTATTTGGGCATAAGCTTTCATCAGATGCATGCAGTGGAAAATACAGCAGGAAGATATATATATACACAGAGAACATGAAAAAATGGGTATTTTCCATTGCATGCATCCAATGAAGTGGGCTGTAGCCCACGAAAGCTTATGCCCAAATAAATTTGTTAGTCTCTAAGGTGCTACAAGTACTCCTTGTTCTTTTTGTTTATATTTGTGTAACTGATGTGTATTCATATAACTAATATAAATTGGAGGTCCATAACTCAGACTCATAACACTTTAAAACGTAGTGCTTCCTTTAACTATTTGTAAAATTCTGCAACCAGAGGAATTATTATTCTAACTACAAGCCTAATTCTGACCTCAGATTCACACATGCAGCTTCCATTGAAGTGGATGGGAATTGAACATGCTGTGCACCTAAGGGCTGAATTTGGCCCTATGTTTCTTTTGCATTACTGATAAAAGAAATCCACAGACGCTTCCTATACATTGCAAATCATAACTCTGGATCTCTCATATCTGTACTGTACGTGCACAGGGTAATAGTTATGACAGGTCGCTATTTTCATCAATGTGTTTTGTTCTTCCTTAATCAGCCTACACAGCCTCAGGCACATCCCAAGCCAATCGATATGTGGGACTAAGCCCAAGAGACCCATCCTTCCTACACCAGCAACAGGTGGGCAAGTTTCACATAGGTATAATAATATAGACAAGCTTTTTCAATAGTACCTTTCTACATGCTGCCACTGACATCTTGGATTAGAATGGGATCCTAATGGTTTCAGAATATGTCAAATGAAGACTAGAACCCCTCTAAAAACATTAACACAGCATATGCTTTTGTTTCTTAGATTTGTGCCATCTTAAGGAACTTTTTATAATGCCTCTTTAAATTATTTTATTTTCGAAGAACTTAAAAGTAGATTCTATAATTGGATATTAAGAATATGTCTGTATAAAGTGTGCAAGGGACAAAACTGAAAACTCATTTCAAAACCAATAAAAAATTAAACAAAATTAAACAGTACAAATTATGATTCTCAAGCTATTTCATATTTTCCAGCTGTTTAAGCCTGCATTTTAGTTCCAGAAGATAAGTTATAAAACCAAATTCTCAATGCAACACATCATCATTCCTACTTTAATAGGTTTAAATTGGTTTGCTGATTTCAGATGTGATAAAGACATGTTTTTGTTTGAGTTTCTTACATCATTTATGTTTCAAGTAGCATTTTAAATTTCACATCTCATTAATGCTGTAAATTTAATGCAAATGAAGTGTTTACCCAAACTGTGAAAATATACAGATGAGATTAATGGTGGTTTATAAACAAATTAGTCGCAGTCAATAGCAGGGCCATGCAAATACAGAAATCCCGCATTGCTAGTAACAGTATAACACAAAATCAGACACTTTAGAACGTAAATATATTTTATGATGTGTGTATATGCTGCTCCCAGATCCTGACATCAGAGGAGTTTGAAATTAACAGCATGTAAAATGTTACAAATTAAAAATTGAATATGGCAGGAAGAAAAGGGCTGTTAAGTAGATCTTATTATTTATTATACTGTATTTTTTCTCAGGCTTGGGTTCCTATCCACAGTTGGTACTCATGCCTGTTTTATTTTATCCTACATGCTATGTGTTTGTTGTGACATAGCTAAACCGTGCTGCCTCTGAACCTCCTATCCCTACCCACTCCAAGGCCAAGGTGGCAGTATGTATGTATTAAAGATCACCACATGCAGAATTCAGAGAAAATCATAAAGATGATAGTTTATTCAAGATCCTTGACATTTTGCCAGCTTTGTTAACCAGTGAGACACAACTGAAGACATTTGTACACAGTTACAAAAATACCAAATAACAATTAGTTGTTTTTGCCAACCATTGGCTTTTCACTAAATTTTCTGATATTTTTCTTTTTTCACCTCTCTAGACTTGCTGTAATATAAAATGTGTCATAATTACTATAATGTGGTTCTATTTGACAAATGTTCAGTAAGTGTTCATTGTATGTTTAAACATATGCAAGATTTATAGGTTTAAAACTTGCTTTTTTAAAAACCAATGCACACATTTTCTGAAATACTTTTGCTGTGAAATTTTAAAAATTATTTCATGATAAGTCTCTGACATCCAGTTAATTTTGGGATTTTCAAAAGAAATTTAAATATATTTTATTTTAATTTATTGCTTCTCTTCAATACCCCATTTTTCTACAAATTTGCTAGTTAGTATTTTTTGTTCTCAAGAACATTAAAAACATTATAGAAACTATTTCACATCCCTAGAAGGTACTGGCAGCCAGCTTAATTTTCCTGTATCTTCTTATTTTTTTTGTCTTTATAATATATTTTAAGAATAAATTTGGATAATTTCAGCAGTCTCATTAAAAATGTGACCAAAATATTCAGGAAAAAAGTAATCTTACATATTTTGCGCATGGACATGTATATGTTAGTTTCAAACCTGGAAAATGTATTCTGATTCAATGCCGCTGTGTGAATTTAATATTCTAAAGTAGAGAGTTTTATAATGTCAATATTTGTTGTTTATTTAAATGTATCAGTATTTTACATATATGTATTATATAGTAGTAGCCCTATAGTATAGTGAAAAAGTATATAATAGATTAATCTCTGCCATGTATTCTATATTCAATTTTAAATTACGTATGATTGTATATACGAGTGTGTGTGTGTGTGTGTGTGTGTGCACGTGCTTATATACATATATATATTAAAAATTAGGCATAGTTGGTACTGTTGCATGCATTGAAGGCACAAAGAACTTTTAACCACAAACTAAGCTTTTTAGTGGTAGATAAATATGAATACAGTATATATAAAATAACTTTCTAATGAGTTAGTTGTTACCTTCATCCTCTTCAATCCTAAAAGGCTCTCAGAGATGACAATGCCATACATGTTTATTATCCAGAAAAAACCCCCACCAGAAATTGTCTAAATGACTTCAGTAGATAAAGGTTATCCTTTGGGAAGGCAGAAATGAGATTGATTTACTATGTCCTTTCATTACTTTACAACAATTTAAAAGAGAGCACTTTTCTTGTGGCAGGTTCTGAATGCATTTAGTTTAAAGCAAACCATGATGAATGAAAAGGAAAATCAAGGGGTACATGAAATAAAGGCAATCAATCATTTTATATTAGCTGAGAGAAATTGTAAAGTAGAAAGCCAGTGGTTTTAGTTCCAGAGGGATCTTTTAAACATTCACTGTACCCTTTAATACACATTGACCTCTTAAGAATAAATATTGTCACAGGTAGGTTCTTTTACTTTGTTGGAGGGATTTATTCTTTCAAGTTATGAGAAATATTGATGTGTATTATTGAGTGCTTTTTTGTTGTTGTTGTTTAAAAAGAACCACAATATATCCTATATAAATTATAGTAACAACCATAAATTTAAGCTGTATGTTATTTTGTGACTCTCTCTTATAAATAGTCTTTCAATAAAATAAAATGACAGTTCAGTCGAACTTCCAGTAAAACAATGTATAGCACAAAATTGTTGGAATACTTGCATTTAGATGGAAAGCATTAAATATAACTTGGAAATATTGTGTGTTTGTGTGTCTAGCACCTTTGGGAGCAATACATTTGCATTTACTGATCTGAGAAAAATATGCTATTACACATGTTACTTAGCATGCTACATTGATAGTTAGGCAAAGTTTTGAAGAATTATAAATCTATGCAGTATACTTTCGTTATGATCATTGGTTGGTGCTGGTTGCTAATTGCCTTGAAATGACAGGTATTTCAAAATTGAACATCAACAATAACATGACAAATTTCTTACATTAACTGCAACTAGAAAGTCATCTACATAAGTAGATCTGCATTAGAAAGGTGCTTATAAAACATCTTAATATTTTATTGTAAAAAATAGTCCTTCCCCAGGCCCCCAAAATATCAGTTATAAATTGTTAATGACTACTTGGTTAGAATGCAGAAGTTTTCCTTAATTCATTAATCAACATGCAAAAGTTATTAACTGTTAGTAACGGACTCATATTTCTGGGGATGTTGCTTAATCAAATGCCTCCTATTTAATTATAGTTAACATTTTATCTTAGAGTTAGAGTTTTAGTAAGGGCTTTGTTCTTAACTTTGCTTTTGGAAGTTGGTGAGGTCACTTTATGAACTAATGAATTCTGCTTTGGCACACTGAATTATCTATGCTAAGAAATGTCTTTATTGACATAGGAGTTTTTGCATAAAAGGAAGGTTGGGTAATCTTCAGAGCAGTATGTCAGCACCTCTCTCTTTCTCTCTCTCTCCACTCCCCCTCCCTCTCCAGCTCATATACACATTGTTTATATTTGAATTGTAGCAAATGGTTTCGAAGTCTAGACTCACACAAAAAGTGAAAAATTAGAGTAACTGAGTCAAATTCAGCTGTGATACAAGCAGACTCAACTCCTCTGAGCTCTGTGGAATTGTGCCATTTGAGTCCTCGTTCTTGGGAGTGTATAGTCATAACACAGCAATTATTAGTAAAAGAGTTCAGTTGCAAAACTCCATGTTAATGAACAATAGGGCAGACTTCTGATGGATGGATGGATGGATGGATGGTGGCATTTACTTAGTCTCATTCAGTTTATATCACTGTGAATTCACAAAATACAAACTTTATATCCTTGAAACTATAGGATTCTTAGTGTCTGATCAAAATTACTTCTGGATTTAAAATTGTTACATTGCCAGAAACACCGATCCTGGATTTTGCCTATTTAAAAAAAGAAAAGAAAAGATTTATCTTTGTGTTCATAGCACATAAAGGATAATGGTGTCACAGTTGGCAAGCTTCCTATTGAAACTGAATAAATCAATCAAAAGACTACTTGCTCTTGGCCATGATATTGTTATCCATAATTATTTAACTTTTAAAACATCTTTGTACTTCTCGAAAAAGTAAATGGGAGGATATTTTCATTCTTCCATTAAGAAAGGAGGCAGGCAAAGACAAATGGCTTTAGTGAGGAAGTTATCAGCCTGTGATACCAGTAACCTTTAAAACTTTACTTTTTCATATATGCTAACTAATATTGGGCCAATAACTGGGCTGCTAAACTCCTCAGATCCTTGCATTACCTAATACAGCTGCATGGATTTCACTAGAGCTTGGGCTTTAAGGGTGTGGTATACATTATGCATTATTTTCACACAGCTTTGACATTTATTAAGGGGTCATGTTACCATTTATACTATAATAAGAAATATTGTAGACATCATAAATGTATTTTAAAATTAGAAAACTGTTAGCAGCTTTTGTTCTTATTTAATTGTTTCCTCCACACAAGACTACTCTTTTCAAGCAGTTTCTCCAGTAGGAAGTTGTTCTTTCCATATGCATCCTTTAGTTGTTGCATTATGCTGTTCAGGATGGAAGCCCCTTCATACCATGTATCACTGAAAATGTAAACTGAAATGACCACTGAAAACAGTGTTTGGTTTTAAACTGTTTTTGATCACATCACTTTTGCTTCAGGCAAAAGACTGAAAGAAGAACACAAGTGGACTCTTAAACAGAACTTTTCAGTAAAGTCAGGAAACAGGTTATCAACACTGAGGCTGTTCTTATTGTCTCTCTTATCATAATTGACAGTTTGACGTAAAACTTGATCACATGACTGCCAGGGAGGTATGTAAATGGATAAGAG